ATACCTTTTTTTGATAAATGGTACCCTTCATTTATTTTATTTATTTATTTTGCCACAAAATGTACAAAGAAAAAAGGAAAAAATTAAAATACACTACAGAACAAAATTGGCGAGGAAGCCTTTAATAGAAACCACAGAGCTTATAACATAAGGCTTCCTCAATTACAACTCATGATGGCTACACATGCAGAAAAGTCTGGAAAAAATCTTGAATTTTGGATCCAAAAATCTGTACAAACCCTCAAAAGAGAGATTGAGTTGCAAATGTCATTATTTAACCCTAGCGTCTTTCACGTATCCTGTGTAGAATGCTGTATTGCTTAATAAAATATGGACTGTCTTTAAAAATGATATGATTAAATTGTTAAACAAGAAAGTTTTCTTGTTTTTTTTTCACTGCCAGGGCTGTCTTATACAAGTTCTAACCTTAAAAAAGTTGCAATATATTAACGTAATTTTTGTCAATGTGATTTTCTTTCAATGACAGACTGCATTGTTACATACATGTATTGTAGAATCTTGATGAAGAGGAACAGCAAGGCAAACTGCAAGACAATGTAATATAATCAGAAAACGAGATCAGCAAGAAAAGGCAGCTCTGAGGACAAGGTAAACAACTCTTCTATTTTTTTTTACAGTAATATGTGTGACATACATGTACCATATCTACTTGATTTCATGCACCCTTGATAAAATGCCAGAGAAAAAATGTTAGCACCTTATTCTCACTTAATTTCGTGAGGATGAAATTTCATGAAAAATCAAAAACCAATAATTTATTTAAAAAGAATGATGAATAATCTTTATGCTTTTGTCCATGTACATGGTTGATATTACAATCTGGTAAATTTACTTCCAATAGAAGATAAATTAAATGTAATGAAAATCATGTGGAAGCTAGGAAGCTAAATGAACCAGTTGGTTTTCTTCTTAGCTCCCTGAACAATTTAGGCTCTACAAAAGTAGCTAGCAGGTAAAATCAAAAGAAATACAATAAGAAGAAAAAAAAAACAAAGAAGGAAGAATAATTTCCAGCTATGTTTTGATGCTGCGCCCGGCTGGCTTTTAAGTGTTGTTTGTAGAATGTTGAATTTTTGCGGATAGGGCAATCTTCAGATTTACGTTGCAGCTTAAACTTAAGCTACACAAAGTATTCAGAATTATGCTGTGCTTCTTTCTTCTACTGTGTGCGATTCGTCGCCCCCAATCACTGACACTGTTTGATGTAGTGCATTATTCTCAAACACAATAGAGAAAGTTGAGGTGCCTGGACTTCCTCAAAGCAAATTTAAGCTCCATTGCTGTACAGCTCAGTGACAACGTTTACGAAAGAGGCGAAATTGTGATCATACAGGTTTTCGATGAGGACAAAACTGCCATAACTTCTCATCTATGAAGAAGACTTTAAATGGCCATTTCCTGTTCAGGCTTCAATAAAATTGCCCTGTTTTTCCATCGAATATTCAAGACTGACAACGCCCCTGTTAACACTTCTTTGATATGTTGATTCTGTTTTGCGGAGAAGATTATGGTTCAGTCAGTTGGAACTCTCCCATAGGAGATTACCAAATATTTGATTGGCGGGTGAACATTCTGATCCAAATGGAACGATCCGTACGCAGGCATTCGGACTACTCAAAAAGGCCACCCGTCCATGCAGGCGGTTTCTCATTGCTCCCGCCCCAATCTCCTTGCTGTTTCTCTGTCCTCACACGCCTTTATTACATTGCGTGCCCAACCAAAATCGTGATGCCATGCAGGTAGCGTATTTCATTTGTTATTCTGAGAGTAGATAGTGTATAATTTCATTGGAAATGCAGACAAACTTGAGTTTTTTAAATGGGTTGGAAGGTCCTTCCAAATGTCTGTAGCTATAAAAGAGATTGATTTTTTGCCTAGCTATGTTTGTTCGTACACTCATCTTATAAATATTTTTCTTAGCTGTATATCTCGTGTTGTAGCAATGGATATTACTAGCATATTGAAACATGTTGTCGAATACCTCATGCAGACAGCCTTTATGCCCATGAATGCACAAATTTTGAGCCTTGTAGACAATAAAATTAAATTCATGCAGGAATGCAGATTTGAATTTGATGATGGTTGCAGCAACAACTGATGGTTTCATTTTTCAAATAATCTTTCCTAAAAGCAATCTTGGGGGTATGCTTGACCTGGACTGACTGTACTAAAAAAAATGAAGTTAATGAAACTGCAGTCAGTTATTCATTCATTCCATCGTGAAACAAACAGTGATTCTATCAAATGAGAAACTTACTGAATGTTGGAAGTAATATCAGTCTGTTCTGTCAGTCAAGGCTATAGGTAGTCAATCAAACGGTCATACAGTCAGTCAGTCAATCATTCAATCAATCATTTGATCATTCAGTCATTCATTCATTTAATAAAGGAGGGCTCATAATATTATTTATGTAGATGGGGAATGAGAATTATTTTCGATGTAATTTTTCCTTTGTGTTGTCTCTAAGCCCCCAACCCCTTCATTTATAATCTTAAATGGTGTGATTTTTGTTCCTGCCCCCTCATTCCATCTCCCATAAATGTGCACAAAATACCATGCCCCAACCCTTCCCCCCCCACGATCATCACCATGCTAATGATGAAAATGGCCTCCAAAAGTGCTGTTAAGTAATGATCTGGCTAAGAAGGGAAGCAATTTCTTCTGTTATGGTGCAATATGCTTTCCTCATAGAGAAATGTTTTTATTTTCTCGGGTAAAATGCATTAACCTACAAAAAGGTAATCTGCAAAAGTAACACATTGAAAGTAACACATTCTTTTAAAAATATTTAAAGTCATCAGGCTCTAGAGTTAATCAAAATGTTCAGAGAAATTTGGACTGAATTGTGCCTTAATAAACTTTCCAATTGGCAGTGGTACACAGAAAACACACACAAGTAATTGGCAAAATTCTGGTGGCAGGGAAGCACTTAACTATAGGGGTAACGGGACCAGGAGAGAAGCCCTCCAGGGGGGGGGGGGAGACAAGATTGAGTGATACCAGGGGTAGCCACCCTGGACAGGAGTCCTGATCAGTCTCCAGGGGTGAGGCCCCTATCCCCCAGTCACTAGGAACTAAGGGGAACCAGGAGGAGTGGCAAAAAGATAGAATTTGCATCAAAAAGGACCCTCGGTTAAATCTCCGGAATATTCTAGTTACCGGGTAAAGAGATTAGTGATACATTATAACATTAGAGCAATTCTTTGTAAGAGTTTCTGTGATATTATAACCTGAGTAAGATAATTAAGTATGAGAGTATTGCATCCTACATGATGAGCGATGATGTTCACCGTTTCGGTTCTCATTGCAATCGGTGACGCAAGCCAATTATTAGCATATTCCTGATATTTCTTCGGAAAGTAATTGAGAGTTCTTTTAGATGCAAAGTTATATCTTTTGCTAGTTGTGCACATGCATATGAAACTTGAAAACAATGCCAGTGCATAAAGAGGATGCTTACTTATAAACACAAAATCTGGGGGGAAAATTGGTTATATTTGAGTCCCTATTTAAAAGCCTTCCCTGTTTTCAATGTTCTTGAAACTTGCAAGGAATATTTATTGATGATTGATCTCGAGATTGTCGAATTTATAAAAAAAATTATTGAGCGGTTTTTTGAAAAATGCAAAACTTGTAAGCATGGAACAAATTATGTCCAAAATCTGTATCAAAAGCAGGTGAATGCAAGTTAATAAAATTCTTCTCACTCGCGATCGCTCAGAGCAATAATATTCCCCTCTCATTTTGTATGCAGTTTTCAATGGAATCAAACCACTATGGTATGAAGCCGCGTTTCCAAACCTTATCAGTTTCTTAAAATATTAGTGAATTGTGTGGATAGCATGCTATTTCACTGTTTTTATGATTGTTAAAACTGTGTGTCAAAATATTTCGAAAACGCTCTCATAGAATTTGTTTAAACTTTGCCATAATGGAGGCAATTATATGGCAGGTACATACTCCCTTGAGCGGTTTCTTCAAAAACTCCTGGTACAGAGAAACACAAAGATAAATAAAAAAGCGTAATGGTGTCATTATGTTGCCATGGCGACTCCGATTGCAATAAAACCCAGATCATAAGATATTTTCATCTTTATATAATACAGTTGTGGTAACCTTTTTCCCATATCTTTACTCATGCCGACGTGGTTAATGCTCAAACGTGGGAGGTATCCCGCCAAAAAATCCAGTCGAGCCACCTTAAAATCCCGGGGGACTCCATATGAAACAGACGGGATGCTCGTCGGAAATTTTGAATTTAACCCCTAAAGGAGACCATCTGGGCGTGGTTCAAGCTTTTTGTGACCCCTAAGGAGACCAATCTGGGCGTGGCTTAAGCAAATTTTGACCCCTAAAAGAGACCGCTTAAAAACACTCAAATACGACATGCAATGAGTTTTAATGATATAAAAACATAATCATCGAATGCTTTTATCTAAAAGTAGTTCTTAAAAGCATTGTCATAAATCTCAAGTTCTTCATCATGTTCATGCATTGTCTCTTTGGCACTTGATTTATAATCACAGAGGTAATGCGGTAAACAAAACAAGTTAAAAAGAAAATTTGACTTCTGTTTCTCTTCGCGTAATTCTGTGTTTCTTCGCAGAACCCTGAACGAGACCCTGGCGGCTTAAAATATTGGCGCTTTGCCCGGAACACCCTAAGTGAGACCAAAATCCAAAATTTACACCCCTAAGCGAGACAACGAGCATCCCCGTCTGTTTCATATGGGAGTCCCCCCCCCAGGCTTAAAATAAACATCAATGAAATACCAAACCATTTTGCTTTAATATTTTTTTGCTTTGAAAGGCGTGATTTATCATGTAGCCACAGTAGCGGTGATCTTTTCACACGTGAAGATAACTTGTTATTTTCACATGTGAAGATATCATGTTTTCGCCCGAAAGCTGACGTGTTATTGATGTATGCATGTAGCTATAGACCATGCTTTCATTCTTTTATTCAAGGTTGGTGAAGTGGCTGATGTTTATCAGGTGGTAAATGAAGATGAATACTCAGACATTGTCCGTAAGCGACAGGAAGAGGACTGGGTCATTGATGATGGTGAGAAGTTCATCGCCTTTGTGCTTAAACTTCAGCGACAAGCGTTAACAGCAAAAGTGCACGCCTAAATCATTTTACCTCTGCTACAGTGTAAAATAGCTTTATAAAGATATCGAGTGAAACATGGGTTGGGGGCTCCTACACTACACTGTAGCTAGAAAGTGTGATGTTTCACAGTTGCCCTGTGATGTTGACAAACGGTTGGGTGGGTAGATGTAGGGTCCAGGGTTCGGTGAATACGGCAAATTTGGCGATTTTACGCCAAAATTGTTCAAATGACTCCACTGAGGTTACGGAGGGAGTCACTTCGACCCAGAAATCTTCGGTAACAAGCATAGTTTTGTCCTTACCTTTTTCGCAAACAAATACAATAACTTTACGTTAATTGTAAACATTGTAAACATTATTGTTCTGGCTTTATACTTATAATGACCCAAAGCATCTTGTTTTGTTTATACTTTGTAGTTTGGCATGAAAACCTTTCCCCCTGCCTCCCACAACCTCCAAGGTCTCTTATAAGATGAATGGCACAGTTTCTACTTATCACGCTAATTATCCACACCTAAACCCTCTGCAAGTCAGATGCCATTTGAAAGCAGAGTGCTGAGGTTTATAGAAAGTTCACTGAATACTCCCTCCAGTGATTTTGCTAATAAATTCATTCAACAGGAATCATCTAACCCAAGAGTACCCCTTTTCAAACAGGAGCCTACTTCCCCACCAAAACCCAGTCACATTACAGCAAAGATAAGATCTGTGGCGGCTGTAAAAACTGAGCCATGTGATAGAACAGAAAGAAAGTAGGGTGGCTAATGGTTGGAGAAAAATCAGAGAGGAAAAACTTGAAATGACAGATATGGATACAGGGGATGGAAGGTAAAAAAGATAGAATTTTGTCATCAGATTATTAAAGGCAAAGTGTACATTTCGCAGGGCGGAAATTAGTCCTGCTAGTTATAAGTAACTTTCCTTGTTGACTTGCCTCATGGGCAGCCCAGTCAAGTCCTCTTTGCATAATGAAACAGACTAAGACAACCATGGAACTCCTCTGGGCAAGTAAAATTGGATCTTTGGGCACAGTTAGGAAGATCAGTATTGGTCATCACTATGAGCTGACATTCTTTGGACTGGTCACCAACATAGACGTGTTGTGCACATATGAACCACCACTCAGCCAATGTGTTTTGCCGATTCGTGGCACACATGTCAGCTGGTGTGTCATCCAACATGTTGACTGAGTGTCTGCTGCGCGTCGGCTGATATGTCAACCTGTCTGATGAACGGGTATAACTTATGTCAACTAACATAATTATTAGCCAAGACTTAACTGACATGTCAACAGATAGTCAACCATTACACTGACCGAGTATTGGCCATTATGTCAGCCAATACTAATAACTTTTTCTGAGCTGTCATTAAACATGGTTTAGTTTAATTATAATCATACATGTGTAAATAACAGAAAAATCTCTGCTAGATGTTCCTGCTTCATATGATTACATGCCAGAGTATGATGCTGGTTTTGATGACTTTAATAATGACGATGATCTTGGCAATGAAGAAACTCTCCAGGCTTTATCAAATGCAGAAAAGAATCATGATGTAAAACCTCACATCAAGGTACTTTACTACATTGATTCAATACTGATTCAATACCAGGTTATTCATCAAGGTACCCTACTATATCGATTCTATATTGCTTAAACATATTGATTCAATACCAGGTTAACCTTGTTTTGTAGGACACCAACCTGTTCAAAATAATCTAAGTAGCAGGTTCAGGCTTAAGCAACCTGATTGTTTTCCTACAATTTAGTTTAGACTCCCTTAAACTTAAACCAAAAAACTTTTTAAGTTACTGAATTCATCTTTTCCAAGAAATTGTAAAATTAAAAAATTAATCATTCTTCTCAGTCTCTGACCAACTTTTTAAGATCACCTTTATTTTACAGTCAAATTTTGTTGATCTCTTGACTCACTTCTCTATCTATTCAACAATCAGAAGTACTTCATATACTTTTCTTTAATTATCCTCTCAGGTTGAGGCCAGTGAGAAACCAAATGACAGAAGATGCGCTATGCCACAGAAGTATGCAATTCTATTATGATATTTATTTTGCCATTCATTGACATCACTAAACAATTTAAATATTTCTGAGAAATAATAATGCATTATTATCATATGACTTTTTAACCTTGTTGGGGCTGGAGGTAATAATTGTCATGTTTGTGTTTTGAAGTCAAGGGAAGGGTGTGGTCACATGTGTTTTGAAGTAAAGTCACTGGAACTTGTTGGATCTTGTCAGCAGATAATTTTTGTTGAACAAAGAAATGATTACGTTACAGCTAGTTGAGCTGATACCTTTGTACCATTTGGTTTTCATGACCGCTTTCAGGAAATAACTGGCTGATTTAGGGGTTCTTGTCTTGTGTTTTGGGCACAGTCAGACAAAACTACTGTCCACGGCACTGCTGGGCATTTTTGGATATTCCTAGTTTGCTAAATAATAATGATTTCCTTTTTATTTAATTATCTGTAATAAAGTGATGGTGGGAGGCTTTGCATTCCACTCCTGCCTTGCGCTTGCCTTTCCTTGCCTAAAAATGCTGAAAAATTACGCTTTCTCTGCAGTCTAGCCCTCAAAATATCTTGATATCATGAAAAAACGTAATTTAGCAATTGTAATTAGTACATGGATCTTTGCAGAACAACAGAACTTCCTGGTGATTCAGGATGGGAAACTATCTTAGGAAATGAAGATTCACAACAACAAGAGGTATAAAACTGTCAAAAGATTCTTGTAAATGTGTTTTGTTCTTAGTCACCTCCCTGCCTTTCATTGTACAAGAAGTCAAGCGTCTTTTTTGAATTATATAAAAATGACATCATATCTCTTTCTCCGGAATGAGAAGCCCCTCTCTGTATTACTTCATCACAATACGGAGAAAAGTATAGTCTCCCTCGCAGCCGTTTTTTGGATGTCACGTAACGCTCCCCCAAAAGAACTTTTAGGGAAGCATTGCGTGACATCCAAAAAAAAAAAATGCGAGGGAGACTAAGAAAAGTATGGTATAGCTTTAATTTGTTTCCTGTTCGTTTTAAACAAATTTTGTTTAAGTTGCATACAGTCAAACCCTGCATAATGGACACCTGCTTAATGTGGACACGTCGTTATTACGGACAGTTTGTTTTGCCCCTGGCGAATGAAAGCCCTTACGTCTTCTCTAATTTCAACCTGTTAATACGGTCACTTTCTATGGCCCCCTCAGTGCCTGTATTAACAGGGTTTAACTGCTTACATTGTAATTTTTTTTTCTCTTTTTATGTGCTACTGTAGGTTTTGATGGATGTTAATGTGGATTCGTCTTCTCTTCCACTCAAAGAAGTAGATGGTTAGTGAACATATCAGCAATCAACAAGTTTCAAGCTTGAAATTATTAAAAAGTGAAAATGTAGGCCTCCTCCAGTTATGCTCTCAAGATGGGCAAAATAAAAATTCAAGAAGACTCCTGACATTTCGCTTTCCAAGAAGATGGAAAACTAGCAACCCTATGTAAAAGTACTGCTTAAGAGGTTGAACAGTCAGACGGGATTTCATCCACAGTGCAAAAATCTCTGCTAGAGCTAACATTTTGATAGAAAGGCTTGATAAAGGCCAACATATAAAAGGGAAACAGAAAGAAACAAGGGAATCTTGCAAGGATGTCTGACTAGTGATGCCAGTTCTGGCCAAATTTTTAAGTACTAAATTTGTTGCCCACTCCAATAATGTTCTTACAAGGATCATCTTTTCTTTCTCCTGTCAGGGTAAAAATTCCTTAAATTCTACTGGTTTGATGCTTATGAAGACAGATTCAAACAACCAGGTAGAGTTGGTCAAGGTTGCTGGACAGCTGAATTATTAAGAACATCACTAGGTTCACTGTAAGGTTTGAATGTTCTGTTAATTATTCTCTATCCTACAGGTACTGTATACCTTTTTGGAAAGGTTTGGATTGAAGATGCAAAAGCATATGTGAGGTAATTACCCTTTATCTGCATTTTGTTTTTCTCTTTAACTAAGTGCAGTAATCCCACATGGGAAACTAGAAGGACCACTTAGTGGACTTGCAACTGCTAATTAAAAATTTATCTTTTTTCGTATTAGCTGTTCAGTGGCAGTCAAGAACATTGAGAGACAAATATTTATTCTCCCAAGAGAAAAGGTGAGAGAATGGATGTATAAACATTGCTGCAGTTGTTGAGTTCTTCTTGCATGTCTTTTCAAACATTTTCTGTTCCTGTTGCAACAGTGTTCTAAATTAATTGATGTTTGAAACTGATGAGCCTGTTGGGTTTAGTGATGTTTACCAGGTAAAAAAAAAAATAATGATTTGATTTTAATCATAGTAATTTTGATTACTGTCCGACGGGGCCACAACCACCCCTTTTCCTTTGAAAATTAATATTATTTTTATAGAATTTCGTCTCAGAAAATTAAAAAGTATCTAGAATAAAGCTGTTAAGTGTCCTGGCCACTCATTTCTGAATTTTCTGGATCTGCTGCTGTAGTCCTTCTAATAACTCCCCCCTCCTGATATTTAAGCCCCCTCCTTTAAATTTTACTAGTAAAGCATGGTGCTCTCTTGACTAATACCCCCCGCTTAGCCTTGGCAGCCAACTTCCACACACTAAAATGGGTATTGAGGTTCACCAATCTCACACAAAATTTTCTTTTGTGATCTCCATATATTC